TGTATTCAAGCTACTGAGCAAGTTCCATGGTCAGAACCCGTCCAGAAATGGTTTTGAGATCTTGGTGAGTTGCGGTCACCTGCACCTCAGGGCGCGGCGCAGCGCAGGTTGCAATGGTGGTGCCTCCAGTGCGCACCTTAAAAATCCTGAAAATTATGTTATGAGAGGTGCTTTGGAATGATTAGGATCTTTGGCTTGGAGTTTCCGTTCGATTTTCCATGATATACATGACGCCATCGCATAAAGAGCTCAGAAATGCTCAGAATATATCCATAGAGTGGCATGAAAAATAAGAAAAAGCACTCTGGTGATAGCTGTCAGGAAGGTGTTGCAGGAGCGCTTCTGAAAGTCCTGCGACTTATCGACCTTGCCTGACTCTACTGTTGCAGCATGTTGCAGCACGTTGCAGCATCACTCCCCCTTGTCATCCCTTGTCTATGTCACTCCGCCTTACTGCGAACAAACAACTTGCAAATGGACAAACTTATGTGTTTTTTTTTTGCAAGAAAAGTTGAGCCAGGATACAGGTCGGCAGTTTAGAATAGTTTAGACAGTCAGATGTTAGATGATTGAACACCAGGATTGACCGGACATGCCACATTCAAATCTCCAGCCGCGCATTGAAAGAATCCAAGACATTCCAAGACCACTCCAATACATCGCGAGTCTCATCCCCGAAAAATGTCGTGTCAGGCTTCATTTTGGTCTCTTCTGATAGTGAACCGCAGGAAGCCTTCAACAGCAGGGAGTTTGCATTGTTTGGCTCTCCTAGACATTGAGGTGACAGAGCTAGGTGGCCCCACAACGACGTCTGTGCACCCAGGGTCCAGGAAGGCCAAGAGCTCCGAAGTGACGAGATAAGACTTGGAAGAGACATCAAGAGAGAAGAGAGTGGGATGTTTGTTTGTTCTTCATTTGCTGCGCTTTACTCAATTCTCAAAAAAGGTTTGCCGTTGAAACTGTCTACTGATGACAATGCTCAGGCTGGGCCCCTTCTTGCCCTCGTCGACTTCAGAAACTGGCAGGTCAAAGTTGGTTCTGTGTTTCCAACATATTTTAAGGTAAGGCTTTAGAGTTGATTCAAGTGGGAGAAATCGTGGAAAGGGTCCTTGTTCCTCGTATCACAATCTACTCAATCCTGAGACGCCTCAAACCGTTTGTCGACCATGCCATCATGTTGAAACAAAGGAATCGACTTCTCAGCCCAGGTCAGTTTGATGCTTTGCCTACTGAAGTCATTTCAAGTTGTTTCAACTGCTGTTACAGTTACAGGCGTAGCTTTGCAGACTAGGGGTGGTCAGTCATCTTCAGTTCAGTCCCCCTTCGGTCCTGGCGATTCCTGGCGGTGTAGAGCTGCGAAGGCTTGTCGTGTGCGACCATCAGACTTGCCATATCATTGACGTAGAACGACGCCAGTGCGAACAGGCGAGAGTGCCAAACCAGAAAAACCCGTTGCATTTTGCTCCAGTATGGGCCATAAATATACGTTGATCGAAAGGTGATTGATGCCAACGATATGACCATGATTTCAATGGCAGCCATCAAAATGGCCTGCCATGCCCGAAGCATCTAAAGCTTGGGGTCCGAAATGGTCCGAATCCTCATATCGCACTGGCTCGCAATGAAGATGACTGTATATATGGTTCTCCGACCACATCTTTAAAACACGTGGCTCTGCGAGAGAGCCACACAGAGCAGGTCAAACAATGATCTGTGTTTCTGGTTTTGAAATGAACAAGAGAGATGATTAGAGATGCATCTTGGTTGATTTGGCATCTGTCACTGTTAGCAACATGAAAAGCACTGCCAACGCCACAGGTGGAGATAGATAGGTATGGCTCTAAGAGGCCTGGCCATCTTTGAGTGAAGATGCTGTGAGGATTTTCTCAAGGACTGTGGCTCTGCATTTGACGCGAAGACTCTTTGGTTCATTGTCTCCAAGCTGTGGAGGCTCTTGCTTTCATCCCTTGGAGCGCATCCAACGGAGGTGACAACCTCGCAGCTTTGCTGCAAGGAAAACGATTTTGGCTTTAGGAGAAACAGCGTCTAACTTTGCTGGGACGCGAAGGTTAGGCTGGCGAAAATGACTCGTTTCGGATCATTTTGAATCATTCTGGTACTTCTTTGGGGGATGATTTTTTGATGGACATGACAATTCGAGGCATTAAGGCAAGCTCGTGTTTGCATGTCTTTCAACTTACCCCTGAATCAGCAGCCAGTTTTGCGTGTTGACAAAAAAAAAATGGCAGAGGTCCAGTTGAAACTTTCAGCCAGTCGCTGCCTAGGTGGCCCATCGATGAGGCCCCACATTGCTGCGCGGCTGGAGGTGGGAGTTATCTCCATCTGGGTGATGATGGTTGTATGATGGTTGCAAAGCGGACCATTCTACAGGCATGTACTGCCTCTGCTACGACAATTTCTTTCCATCGCAATCTTGGATCAAGATCATCGACTCATATTTGCCCGAGAATTGCCTTGTCTAATTTCGGTGCGTGTCTCATGGTATTGGCCACTTGCCTTTTCTATTGGAGGGGGACTTGCACTGAAGCGAGATCTATTGCTTGGACACTGGCGCAGGCATGGTGGCTGCTAGGCCGCTCAAAGGCAGGGACCAATCTGTGCGAATGCTGCTGAATGTTTCACTGAAACAAAACATGTCGACATGTGTTGACTTGTGGTCTGAGGCTAGCACAGACAGGAACCAAAAACGCCACTGCAATGAAGACATGATAGGATGGTAACCTGGTAACCTATTTCCATCTATATATATTTCCTATTGATTTCTATTGTACTATCACATCGCAGTTTCATTCAGAGATCTTCTTGGTCATGTGCCTGACTGGCAGGTGCCCCTTCCCCATGTGGCACTGTGCTTCAGTGGCTGGACCGTTCTGCATGAGCTGCCGAGTCTGCATGAACATGTAAGAACTCGGAAGTTGCAGATACCCAGTCTGGACTCCACAGCTTAATGAATGCCCTCAGGACGCATTCAGCTGCAGAATCATAGAACTTGACACAAACAATCTTACATGTTTAGCAGAATCTGAATCCAAACCTCCACCTTACCCCATGCAAAATCAAGTGGAAAGAGTAGACACAGGAGTGCATGATCATCCAGGCAACATACAGAACTCAGGATAGCAGGAACAGTTCTTACATGACTTCTAAGAGTGTCAGAATCCGATTCGGACATATTCGGACAACAATATACCTTCGATTCCTCCCTCTTATGTACGATTTGTGAGAGCACGGCAACCTGCACTGCCTGTGCCGTGGCTTCGTTTCTTGCTAGGAACTTCCAGACTTTGGCAGCCCTCGCCCTAGATCAAGGAGTTGGTCAGGGCTGGAAAGATCGTACTCAACTTGGGCTGTAAGATCTGTAAGATTGTAAGAGCAATATTGATAATATTGGGATGAGGTGATACGAATGTTGCAAAGGGTGAGTCAGTTTTTAGATTCCTCAGCAATCCTCAGCATATCTTTTCCTGATGTGGACAAGCACTTATGAGCAGTCAAGGTGCACCTGGCGTGCCAGAATCACCACCCATCGCAGCCAGTGGCCCAGCAGATGCATCAGCAAGATGAGGTTACAGGAATTTCCAAGCTGATTTTGGGATAGATTGGCAGGAGAATACATTGAATACATCAAGACAATGAAAAACATGTTGACTGACTGGAGGTGTTTGCCTGGTGATATTTGAAAGAGCAAGAACACGGATGGGATGTGGCAGAACCATCATAGAAGTACTGTACATATATATACATATATATATATTATATTTATATAGACTATATATATACACAGAGCGGTAAAAGAGACGTTGAAGCTGCTGCACCATGTTATCCCATCGAGTATCATTCATTTCGCATGTGTTCACTTTGAGTTGTCCAGGCCCGAACTTCGTTGCGACAGGAGTGACATTTGACATGCAACACAGACATTCCCTTGGCCTTTGTGAAGAAGTGTACGTGTACGTGTAACTTTCACAAGAGCATAATATGCATACCAACGTGTTAATGCAATGAGTACAACAGTCAAATCAAATGCGCTGAAGTCACGTTTCGCACATGGATATGGATCTTGCTGGCTTCTTTGCGAGAAATCAGCTGATGCCTGTGCAAGATGTGATTAGTGCAGATAGACGTATGCACATTGCTCAAATAGATCTCTTTTCATTGATGGGAATCTATTTGCCGCACTGGATGCGACCGCGAAGGAACAACTAGCATTGGGAGAGGCGGCTTTTCTGGGTGGAATTTGGGTATGTGTGAGTGTGCACATCTCTTGCATTTGAACATGCAAGCGCAAATGTGCTTTCAATTGCGGTTTGCAACTTCGGACATAGTGGAGTGATATAGTGGAACAGCCAACCGGTCTGATCAATGTGCTTCAAAGAGCCCAACCTTGGCCCCGCAGCAGCCACACCAGGCTTTCTTTCCATCTGTAGAGTCGACATGGCCGTTGCCTGAGAATCAGGCAGGAAACTCCGTGCCGATCTGGGCTGCGTTTCACAAAGATTGAAGAAATTGAAGGCATTGGCCTCCTCAAGCCATGACGCAGTGACACAGCTCTTTGAAGCCACGGAAGCATCTAAAATCTAAAATACACGTAGGTCTTGCAGGATCGCTTTCTCAGCATGAAGAACAGCAAGCTTTGCACTCAAAACTTGGGCTTGATGCAGGTTCTGCTTTTGGTGTGCAGCTCAAAGGGGTCAATTTTCTCCTCGACTCTCAATCATATACGAAGAGGGAAGACCTTAGAAAATCATTGAGGGACAGTGATTCGTTGGTGTCATCAATTTTCGAGAAATCAGAGGCCCTTACACTGCTACACTTGTCGTAACCAAATGAATCCAAATATATCCAAATGATTTATGCATATTTATACTATTTTATATTATCTATGCTGATGTACTGTATCACTTCTGTATCTATGGTGGAGAAGTCGCTTCAAGGTTCGGAGCCTGCCGGCAAGCCCCACAGGAGGCCATGCTGTGCTGGAAAGCCACGAGACGATGTGGATGGGACTAGGCTTTTCCATGCTTTTCTGGCTTCCAGGAAATGACGATGTAGCCCAGCGATGCAGGATGAATCGGATGAATCGGAGATGATGCCATGGCATCCATGGGATCTGATAACTCTGAGATCATCGATGCTGCCTTTGCACTGGCAGAAGCTGACTGGGTACTGGTCGCCAGTGGAGCTGGCCTGAGCGCAGATTCTGGCTTGGACACCTACGAAGGTCTGCGCGATCAGGGTGTTGACTATGATATCCTTTGTAGAGCTGAGCTGTTGTATGACAAGCCAGCATTGTTTCACAGCTTTTGGCTGGGCAGCCTTTTGAAATATCGGGGCACTGCGCCGCATGAAGGCTTTCAGATCTTGGAGAATTTGCTGCGAGAAAGAGCCGATATGGGTCGAGTGTATCTTTACACTAGCAACGTGGATGGTCACCTGAGACACTGGGGCATTACATCCTGCAGTCTTATGTCTTTTGATTCACTTTTTCCCTCGGTGCCACCCGCCCCCAAAAAAAAACACTGGGATCCACAAAGCCTCCATGTTTGTTTGCCAACCGAGGACAGCTGCAGGGTTTTCCTTTGTGTGAAATTCATGGCTGCTGCGAAGACTGGATGTGTTCGTCACATTTGGCACCGCCTCCTTCTGAAGGCCTCAGTCAACGCTGGATCACAGTGTGTGAAGAGCAGCGCAAACTCTTGGATGGACGAGACGCCCGTGCCGCCTGCGGTTCTCCGGAGGCATTCAAACTTCCATCGGATGCGAGCTTGGACATGTTGGTCTGCAGTTGTGGTCTTCCACTCAGACCAGCCGTTCTGATGTTTGGGGATGAAGACGAAGCCCTTCTTGACATTCTGCGACAAGCATGGGAAACCTATCAGAGGTGGGAAGACGGGATGGAACGAGAGCTGAAAGCTGGTGGTCGACTAGTTATACTTGAGATTGGTGTTGGCCACCGAGTTGAAGTAATCCGACAGGAATGTGATGAAGTGCAGAAAGATGTCGCAGCTGCAGGAGGCACAGTTACTCTGATCCGAATCAATTTGGATGAACAGATCCTGTCGAAGCCTTTGGTCGCTGATGGAACTGGCCGAATTCGGAAGATCTGCTTACAGCTGTCATCCCTGGAGGCTTTGAAGCTCATTGGTGAGGTCAATACAACTACGGCCAGCCAAGTGGAAAAAATGCAAGGGGTTTGATTGAGAGACACACGACTGAGCAGTGCCCAACCCTCGAAATGATGCTGATTCGTCGAGGGTTGTGTGCTACGACGCATGGTGATTATTTGCTGCCGATGGCTGAAATATGTACTCAAACGGGGTCTGGAGGTGAGGTTAAAGACTCAGATAAATTCCTCATAAATCATAAATGAATTGTACTGTAAATCGACCCCTTAAGTAAGCAGCACCATGTGAAGAAACGCAATGTTTTTTTGTTGTCGAGTCAGTATCACCACGTCAGTGAAGATAACGTGTTTTGCGTGGCAGGGTGGCTATGGTCCAGCCATGGTCAGACTTCGCTTGAATTCCTCCAAGTGTAAATGTTGCGTCGATGTTATCTTCCATTGCAGAGGAACTCTATCTCTTGTGATCTGGGGTTGCAAAGTGCAGGCTGGTTGTCCTTCTGCAAATAGCCTTTTGTTTTGAGATTTGAGTTGCGAAATGCACTGTGCAAGAGCTTGGCGCGGCTGTTCCTGTTTGTGCAGGGCCGTTGGGTTTGCGAACCAGGGTTCCAACATGCAGTGCGCTGCCGCGACAAGTCTATCTTTGGCAGCTTTTGCCTGCACAGTGATTGTGTGTTAAATTGTGAGAAGGTTGAACCATCAGCCAATCAGTCAATCAAGAAACCAATCATGCAATCAACCAACCAATCCTTTATTCATTCAATCAGCCGAAGCAAATCGAGGAGCCAATAAACCTGCGGTGGACCCATGCGTCCGTCCATCCATCCATCCATCCATCCATCCATCCACCAATCCGCCATTTTATCAGCCAAACAATCGATTTATCAAGCGCGCCAAACCAATTCAAATCATTGATGTGGTCAAGCAGTCCACCAATAAATGTCATTTGATCAACAAATAATCGCAATCTGTGTCAATTGATGCTGCTACCTGTTCACCCACGCATGTTTCTCTTCGTCCATTGCAGCGTTTGCTACTTTTGAAACCGAATCTTCCCAAGAGTCCAGCTGACGCACAGCACAGGCACAAAGAGCCCTCCGCTGAATGCTAGCAGTCCAAAGGCGGGGGCACCCAAGGAAGATAAGAAATGCGCTAAGAAAGGCGCTTTCACTGGTGCAATTGTATGCAATTGTGCAAATTGTGCAAATTGTACATGTCTAGTCAAATTAGTCAAGTTATTCTTCCAATAGTGCTTTTGAATGATGTGATTTTTCTCCAAAGGTGATTGATGCGCGAGGCTGGACGTGTCATGGGTCCGATGAGCCTTTGACAGGGGAGTTGATCGTTTTTGGCAGGGAATCCAATGTTGCTTTGGTGTTTTCGAGCTTCGTGACAAACGCATAAACACTACAAGAAACAGCCATTTCGACGTGAGTCCATCACCATCCTTGTCAATGACTTTTCTGGCTCAAGCTTCTTTACAGGGATTCAATTGGGAATGTTTCCTTCGGGATGAAAGTCCTGGTGAATTGCCAGAACTTGAAATTTGAGGTGCAATGTGGAGCTGGAAAGCAACACATGAGATGGCTGGCATTGGTTGCAGCTACTCGGGTACAGAAGGAAAAGTACCCCCACGCGTTTCGGGTTCCACAGAGAGTCTTAAACTCGGAAGGTACAACTCTGAAGCCACGTCAAGTGATATGCTCCACACTAGAGGATGGAGAGGAGGTTATCATTGAACTCAGACAAGGTGCTGCCATTCCAGAAGAGGATGTTGATGCCGCCGAGTGGTCCGAAGAAGCATACGGACCACAAGCAAATCTCATGGACTGCAAGTTCAGATGGAAGGTCGGAGGTGCTCAGGACATTCCAAAGTATGTCCGTGGTGACTACATTGTGGCACCTCGATGGCAAGGCGTCTATCCACAAAAAGATTATGGTGGACCCTTTGAGATCCAAGTTATGCCTGTTGATGTTAGTCCAGATCAGACGGATTGGATCGCTTCCAGGAAAGCGCCTCCTGGAAGCTGCACCTTCCAATTTGTCATGGAAAATGGTTTTGAATCCATCTGCAAGGCGGACCCAGAGACTTTGACATCTGATGGCCTGGCACACTATGTTGAATTTCATTGGGATGTGCCGATCGCTCCAGAGCCTTACCCAGAAATTGACAGCCGTCCATCAACCGCATCATCCAGAGATGGGGCCCAGGTTGACCCACGATTTGAGCAAGATTGGGAAGCCTTGCGCTTGAAGTGGGTAGAGTCTTTCATGAAGGTCCGTGTCAAGGATGTGTTGACTGAATTCTATGCAATTCTCATTGACCTTTTTGACTCCTACGCCTTTATGGGTTTGGACCTTTCAGCCAATCAACATACTATTGGAATGGATGACTGGAAGCATTTGGTGATCAATTGCGGACTCCTTGATGGACAACCTGAAGGAAGTCTTGATTGGCAACAAGTTTGTGCATGGTTTGAAGAGGCAGCAGGGATCCGAGACGGCAGGCCATATCTGGCACAACGACTCACTCGTGCACACTACCTGGAGTTACTGATGCGCACTGCATCTTGGACCATGTGTGAGCATCCGAGGCAGCAGTACATGCCGGAGAAGGGCCGTCCTCCAATGCCTTTAGACGAGGGTTTGTTTCGCTTCATCACGGACATCCTGATTCCAGTGATGGACATCTATGATGATGATCCCATCCGAAAGGACGCTGTTCAACATGAGAACTTGGTTGTCATCCAGGAGAATCGCCGCTCCATTCGCTCCGTTTATGCCTTCTTGGCTCAGCCATGGCCTCACTATGGTGAGCGTGTGCTGGTGCCATCAACCCTTAGATACGTCTTGGAGTATGCGCATGAGAAGCTCTCTGAAGCAGAAGCCCCTCCACCACCTCCTCCAGAAGCAGAAGGCGAGCCCAGCGTCAAGCCTGCAACCATCGACATGGCAGCAATTCTTGGAGGAGACGAGAGACTAAACCTTCAACAATTGGAAGTTATCCTGGAGAGTTTTGACTCTCATGTCACCAAGATCACAGCAAACCACCCAGAAGAATTTGAGCATCGTGCGTTGCTCTTCTGGGAGTTTTTCGAGGTACTCATGGAGTCCTGCCGGAGCTTAGCTGGATGTGAAACGCCAGTGGAAAAAGCAATCCCAGCCTATGTGCAGACAATGCTTGCCTTCATGGGCCTTGTTGACCGTGAAGAGGCATCACTTCCGCAGCCAACACAAGAGGTTGCAGTGCCTGAAGACGCCGTACTCGGCGACGTTGATGATGAGGCATGACGAGGCATGGCGATCCTGGCTGCGATCTGAGATGCCAGTGACCCGGCGAAACGTTGTTTCACTGTCTCACAGACATTTTCTTTTGCACCCGAACATTCTTGAAATTGACCTCTTCAATCCTTTTCACTTCAAAATGTGCACATAGGCCATAGTGATACTCTTGGTGTTTTACATGGCTTTATGCTCCTTAGCATTCAATGTGTGCAAAGATTCAAAGGGTTTGCAATATGCAGACATGGAGCAGGATGCTTCCATTGTGTCACCGTGATTCACCTTTGCATTGTTTCGTGGCACAGTGCTTCACGGCAAAGACCATTGAGCAAGCGGGAAAAATAGCAAAGTGCAACAGACAGACCATCGACATGAAGTTAAAACAAACGGTGCTCTCTTGCAATTTCGTTCTACTGACACAGTTGAGTCATGTTGAGTCATTGCGTAGTTTTTGTTCTTGCCAAAGCTTGCCAATCTTTCTTCAGTTGCCCTCCACCTTGATCTCTTGCCAGGAGGAACGCTCGCGGAACGACCGGAGGCATATGCTGATGTTGCCAAGCTGAAGATCAGCCATTGCTGGTTGAAAAGCCCGGACAACGGGATGGCAAATACACATATAAAATCATATAAATCATAAAATCATATATATATATATGTATACATAATACATATATTATACAGAATATGTATATATATATATATTTATATATATATTTATATATATATATATTTATATATATATATTTATATATATATATATTTATATATATAATATATATGTATATATAATATACGTGACTTCATGGTGCGTTTTCCGTTTGTGGTTTAAGGATGTTTGAGGCTGTATCGTGAAGGATCGGTTGAATTCAAACAGGTGCTAGAAAATGATGGATTGCAAACAGGGGCTGCAATCTTTCTGCGAGGTGGCTACGAGGTGGTGGTTACAGGCCGGAGTCCGCATGAGTGGATGTGTCTTTGCCACAAAGACATCCTACTTTGTGTTTCCATGTCTCTTAATCCTTCAATGCCAAGTCAGTTGAAAGGCCTGTGAGAGGCACAGCCCAGTGCCTCAAAGATGTGCTGAAGCAATCTAAACCATCGTTGCCACAATATCAACGAAAAAGCACTAGCACAATATCAATATCATAATTATAATATATCAAAATCTTAATGGGCTTCAAGATTGGAAGGTGTGGTACGTGGATCGCGATCACAAGGAGTGCTGGGCATTCCATGCATATTGTAAACAAACACAAGAACCTAAGGGCCTAAGAATCCAAGCAAAGCTTGGGCAAAATCGGGTGCCATAGAAGCCGCACCGAGCTTTATTTGCCTTCTTGATTAGGCTTGGAATAGCTTTAGGACATTGCCAGAACTCTTCACTGCTTGGACTTTTCATGCAGCCCATGGAAAAGTTTTTGTGGGAGGAGCTTCGACCACGCGTACGTGGCAAGCTGCAAGTGGAGTCCAAGGCCTTTTTTTGAGCACGGCTAAGTTGCGTCGATCGTTATCCATCATTATCCATCGTCATCCATCGCCATTGTCCTTTCAACTTTCAACATCAATTAACAACCTAAACGATGGATTTTCTGAAGTTTTTGAACAGTGGCAACGTGATGGTTCAAAGTCACAACCAAGAAGCGTTCAAAGCTGATGCCAAAGTTGGAGAGGCCAACGTATTTGATGGCTAAATTTTTGTTAGGAATCATGATTTGATGGCTGAATCATGTTCAACTGCTGGCCCTGTGGAGGTGACATGTGTCAGTGCTGGCAACATCGGAGGTGTCTTTGCAGCGGGAATGCGTTGGAGGGATTTGGAGGGAGTCAACTGAACCTTTGCAGTGTACACGCTTACCCATTTGATTGAACCATGAATCATTCTTTCTGCTGCAATTTAGCTACGTTTTCTTTTTCTACCTACAGAAGGACTTCCGT